GGGCTGTTTTTCAATGGAACGCTCGCCTGAGCGCCGCGCGCATTCGTCTGAAAAGCTTGCACCAGCTTCCACGATGGAGGCCGGTGCCTGATCAAAATGTGGCTCTCGCTTTTGCGCCGCGCACGTTCGCCTTGGAAGTCTGCAGCAGTTTCAAAACAGCTTCAAGAACACATAGCGTTCTGACAAGACTTGGGGTTGCTCAGGCGCAACAATCACGAAACTTTGCGGTGAAGTCACAGGAGCGGTGTTCTGACACGATTCTGGATTGTCAGGACGCAACGTTCGCGTTGCTTCGCGGCGTTTCCCAGGCACGCGTTCTGGCACGATTTATGACTCTTAAAGAACTTCGGGCAGTGAGGGGAGTCTGCATCCTATCGACTGTACAGTGCAAAACTGTTATGTCATTGTCTGTTCGTGGTCCTGGCCAGGCATTTCCCCTTTTTTGAGTTTGGGGGAGTGCAGAACTCATTGATGTGTACCTTCTTCGGGCAGTTGCCTTTCAACGGGCCGCTGCCTGCAATGAAGCTAATTGCTTGCAGGGACATGTGAAGTGGAAACTTGCAAGGAGGGATGATTGCAACATCGTTGATGCGTCTTGGGTTGACACTGGTCCTCCTCCGCCTCTTCCGCATCCTCCTTCTTTCCCTTCCTTTCCTCCCCTCGTATTCCTGCTCCCCCTCCTCCTCCTCCTCCTCCTCCTCCTCCTCCTCCTCCTCGTGCGTCTCCGCGCTTGATCATTCCTACTTACTGGCTCCTGCTTGCTCCCGCTCCTGCCACCTCCTGCCACCTCCTCCTCCTCCTCTTCGTCGTCGTCGGCATCGGCATCATCATCATCATCAGTAGCAGCATTAGCATCAGCATCATCAGCATTATCATCATCATCAGCATCATCAGCATCATCAGCATCATCATCGCTATCTTCAATATCAGTATCATCACCATCTTCGTCGTCATCATCATGATGAACATCATCATGATCATCGTCGTCACCATCATCACCACCACCATCATCAGCATCATCTGCATCATCATCAGTACCATCATCATCATCATCATCATCATCATCATCATCGTCATATTTACCATCATGATCAGGACCCTCATCATCAACAACAGCAGCCATAATCATAATCATCGCCATCAGCATCATCAGCAGCATCATCATCAGTAGCATCATCAGCATCAACATCATCGTCAGCAGCATCAGCACCGTCGCATCATCATTATCATCACCATCATCATCAGAATCACCGTCAATCATCCTCATCACCACCATCGTCATCAGCATCATCATCGTCATCGCCATCATCAGAATCGGCATCATCGGCGTCATCGTAATCGTTACCATCATCATCACCATCACCATCTCCATCATCATGAGCATCATCATCATCATCATCATCATCATCATCATCATCATCACATCGTCATCAGCACCATCATCATCATAAACAGCATCATCAGTATTGCCATGGCCATCACGATCATCATGATCAGCATCATAACCAGCATCAGCCTAATCACTGGCATCAGCATCATCAACATCAGCGGCGACATCGCCATCATCTGTATCATCACCATCAACATCGCCATCATCATCATCAGCATCGCCGTCGTCATCATCAACAGCATCACCATCGTCCTCACCATCACCATCGCATTATCATAACCACCACTACTTCCACCATCATCATCAGCAGCATCATCACCATCGTCATCATCAGCATCATCATCGTCATTAGCAGCATCATGATCGTCAGCACCATCATCGGCATCACGACCACCACCACCATCACCATCAGCATCACCAGCATCGCCATCATCACCATCAGCGTCACCGTCATCTTCACCATCATCACCACCAGCGTCGTCATCACCATCATCATCAGCATCATCATAATCATCCTCATCAGCACCATCATCATCGTCAGCATCATCAACATCACCATCGCCGTCAGCATCACCATCACCAGCACCATCGTCAGCATCATCATCATCATCATAGTCGACGTCGTCGTTATCATCACCATCGCTGTCGTCGTCATCATCAGCAGCATCAACAACAGCAGCAGCATCCGCATCATCAACATCATCTTCATCATCATCACCACCATCGTCGCCGCCATCATCATAACCAACATCTTCATCATCATCGTCAAGCGTCGTCGTCAGCATCATGTTCATTACCATGGACAGAAGGATGATAACACTCAAAAACAACACCCATCTCACCAGCACTACCCCCAGCATCAGCATCGTCACCAGATTGACATTCTCTTCTGCCTCGTCCTCTTCCTCCTCTTCCTCCGCCTTCTCTTCCTCCTCCTCTCACCTCCGCCTCCTCCTCCTCCTGCTCCCCCTCCTCCTCCTCCTCCTCCTCCTCCTCCTCCTCCTCCTCCTCCTCCTCCTCCTCCTCCCACCTCCCTCCTTCCTCCTCTTCCTCCTCCTCCTCCTCCTCCTCCTTCTCCCCCTTCTCCCTCCTCCCTCCTCCCTCCTCCGTCCTTGGTCCTCCGTCCTCCGTTCGTTCCTTCCTTCATCATCCCTCCTCACTCCCCCCTCCTCCTTCCTCCTCTTCCTCCTCCTCCTCCTCTCCTCCTCCTCCTCCTCCTCCTCCTCCCTCATGCATCCTTTTCCTCCTCCTCCTCCTCCTCCGCCCACTCATCCTTTTCCTCCTCCTCCTCCTCCTCCTCCTCCTCCTCTTCCTCCTCCGCATCAGCAGCATCAGTATCAGCATCAGCAGCATCATCATCATCATCATCATCATCATCATCATCATCATCATGGTCATCATCATCATCAGCATCATCATCACCATCAGCATCATTATCAGCATCAGCGTCAGCGCCAGCATCAACATCAGAATCATCATCATCAGCAGCATCATCATCCCCCTCTTCATCCTCCTCCTCCTCCACCTCCTCCTTCTCCTCCCGTTATTTGCCTGTCATATCAGACCAAGTGCAACATCATGTCAACTCTGAATGGAAGGATTCTTAAAGCAACTACATGTCAACACGATTGCAGTATAATCGGCATTATCTTGGTCTTGGGATCCTCCTTTGGTCTCGGACTGAGTATGCCCAACTATTCGGGCACCCCTGGTCCAGTTCGCCCTCAGCGTTTCGGCGCGTGGTTGGCCACCCTCTTCAGGACCTGCCACAACCAACCACACGGGGCAGGCCGACGCTGTCACGAACGACATCCCTGTTTCCTCTGGGACTCCTTCGTGCACACCAAAATTGCCAGACGATGTCAAGCAAAGTTATTGGAATTTGCTGTTTTGGCCTTCAAAGAAGGGAGGGAACAACTGCCCCCCCTTTCGTGACACCGTCGGCACCTGACGGACTGGCCGCAGGTGCCCCCTTTTTCCTTGAATGTCTGACCCCCCGCCCCCGTGACCAGAGCACTGACTGGAGCACAGGACGGCGGAGCCGACTTCACAGCAAGCGTGCCGGAGTCTCTCTGCAACACGCGCAGGCATGCCGGAATCTCTCTGACTGATGGAAAAAAGGCTGCGCCGCCGAAGACGAGCTCCTGGAGAGCTTCGGCTGATAACCCGCTACTTGCCTGTCATATCACAACAAGTGCAACATCATGTCAACTCTGAATGGAAGGATTCTTAAAGCAACTACATGTCAACACGGTTGCAGTATAATCGGCATTATCTTGGTCTTGGGATCCTCCTTTGGTCTCGGACTGAGTATGCCCAACTAAGTTGCTATTCGGGCACCCCTGGATCAGTTCGCCCTCAGCGTTTCGGCGTGTGGTTGGCCATCCTCTTCAAGACCTGCCACAACCAACCACACGGGGCAGGCCGACGCTGTCACGAACGACATCCCTGTTTCCTCTCGGACTGCTTCGTACACACCAAAGTTGCCAGAAGATGTCAAGCAAAGTTATTGGAACCTGCTGTTTTGGCCTTCAAAGAAGGGAGGGAACAACTCCTCCTCCTCCTCCTCCTCCTCCTCCCCCCTCCTCGTCATCCCTCTTCATCCCTCTTACCCCTCTTCCCTCCCTCCCTCCCTCCCTCCCTCCATCCGTCCATCCCTCCCTCCCTCCCACCATCGGTCATCATTCCCGTCCTCCCGGATTCCGTCCGTTTCCTCCTTTCCTATCAGTCATCCCCATCTCCTCCTCCTCCTCCCCTCCTCCTCCTCCTCCCCATCCTCCCCATCCTCCTCCTCCTCCTCCTCCTCCTCCTCCTCCTCCTCCTCCTCCTCCTGCTCCTCCTCCTCCTCGTCCTCCTCCTCCTCCTCCGTTTCCCCTCCTCCCCCTTTCTCCCCCACATCCCCCTTGTTTACGATACGATCGGTGTGGTGCCTGTTCGAGCGAGTGGCGAGGCCCTGTGTCGCGGCCCAACTCCACGGCGGCGCATCGCCTCCCGCCCCCATGTGCCGATGCGAGCACCCCTGGAGTGCAAATCTCTCCCCTGGGTGAGGCGCGTCGCTCCGTGGTGCTGGGAAGGGGGGGGGGGGGGGGCGCGCCGCGCCTTCTGGCAGAAGGCCCTGGACCGAGAAGACGGGGGGAGCGCGGGGCCCCTCAGTGTGCGCCCGCCCGCCCTCCCACGACTGACGGCTGTGTGCGCGTGTGTGCGCGTGTGTGCGCGTGTGTGCGCGTGTGTGCGCGTGTGTGTGTGGGGGTCGGTAAACAAACCTTTAGTATGTTCCTCCTCCTCCTCCTCCTCCGCCTCCGCCTCCTCCTCCTCCTCCTCCTCCGCCTCCTCCTCCTCCTCCTCCTCCTCCTCCTTCATGTCCTCCTCCTCCTCCTCCTCCTCCTCCTCCTCCTCGACAGTTCCGGTTCTTCGGAAAACTCAAAGTCCGCAGCTCGAGCCCGATGAGGAGGAGGCGAAGCTTGTGAGGGGAGGATGACGGGGAGGAAGGCGGGAGGAATGAGACATAACGTGAACACTGGAAGATAAGGGGCAAGGAGGGGAGGGAGGGAGGGAGGGTGGGCAGAGGAGGCGCTCCCATAGACCCTGACCCGTCCCGTCCCGTCCCGTCCATCTCTGCCGACTGAAACTCCGCCGAAGGCGGAACCGACTCTACCTCGTCATCGGCACCAGGAGCTCTGGCCTCGGTGGGGGTAATAAGGGAGAAAGGGTGTGAGAGAGAGAACAAGAGAGACGAGAGAGAGAGAGAGATAGATAGGGTGAATTGAGACAAGCTGGGCGCGCTCTCGCCACATCTGACAATTTAACCTCATCAAATCACGAAGTACCCCCCCGGGGTTATCATTAGCACCGCACCGTAACAAGTGGCACGCGTGCCCTGGCTCTTGCACAAAGGAGGGGCGAACCACCATAAACCACTACCAAAAAAAAGGATTCCGCGGCCCAGGGGGGCTGCCCTGGGAAGCCTGGACGGAGGAAGGCCCCCAAGGGGGGGGGGGAAGGGGAGCTGGGGCAGGGGGGGGGTCGGGGGGGGGGGGGGGACGAACCACCACGAACCACGACGAAAAAAAGGTTCCGCGGCCCAGGGGGGCTGCCCTGGGAAGCCTGGACGGAGGAAGGCTCCCAAGGGTGGCTGGCTCAGGGGAGCTGGGGCTCAGGCTCAGGGGGGGGCCGAGGGGGACGAACCACCACGAGCCACGACGAAAATAAAGGGTTCCGCGGCCCAGGGGGGACCCAGAGGGACTAACCACCACAAACCACTACCAAAATAAAGGATTCCGCGGCCCAGGGGGGCTGCGCTGGGAAACCTAGACGGAGGAAGGCCCCCAAGAGGGGGGGGGGAAGGGGAGCTGGGGCTCAGGCTCAGGGGGGGGGTCGAGGGGGACAAACCACGACGAAAATAAAGGGTTCCGCGGCCCAGGGGGGCTGCCCTGGGAAGCCTGGACGGAGGGGGCTCCCAAGGGTGGGTGGCTCAGGGGAGCTGGGGCTCAGGCTCAGGGAGGGGGGGACGAGGGGGACGAACCACCACGAGCCACGACGAAAATAAATGGTTCCGCGGCCCAGGGGGGCTGCCCTGAGAAGCCTGGACGGAGGGGGGGTCCCAAGGGGGGGTGGCCAAGGGGAGCTGGGGCTCAGGCTCAGGGGAGGGGCCGAGGGGGACGAACCACGACGAACCACGAACCACGACGAAAATAAGGATGTCCGCGGCCCAGGGGGGCTGTCCTGGGAAGCCTGGACGGAGCAAGCCTCCGAAGGGTGGGTGGCCCAGGGGAGCTGGGGCTCAGGCTCAGGGGAGGGGCCGAGGGGGACGAACCACCACGAAGGAGCTGGGGCTCAGGCTCAGGGGAGGGGCCGAGGGGGACGAACCACCACGAACCACGAACCACGCCGAAAATAAAGATGTCCGAGCTCTAGAGCACAGCTGTGCAAGAGACTTAAATTATCATAGGGGGCGGCCTTCGCCGAAATATATAGTTAACACAACGCAGACGAACGAACGTAAGAAATTCCCGCGCCTTGGTTCGGGTGATATCCCAATTGGAAGTGGAATAATAATAATAATGAACTGCGAGTAGCAATAATAATTATAAGAATACCACGGATGATAAACAATAAGACAAATAATACAAATGATATTCGTGAGAGTGATCATAATAATACTAATAATAACAGTAATCAGAGTCATAATGCTAAAAATAATAAGAATGATACTCATAATCCGAATAGCAATGCTGATGATAACAACAACCATAAGAATACGAAACATATGAATGTTCATAATCAGAATCGTAATCATAATACTAACAAAAAAGTGTTGTCCCATTATCTTCATCATCCTTGTCCTATACGATGTGTATTGCCACCCCTGTTGAAACGTTGTTGTATCCCGGCCGTCGTGTGGGGGTCGTGCATCCGATGATATCGCCCCTGCCACGCACGGCGCGTTATCTTAGCACCGCACCCGCACAAAATAAGTAAGACAGCTGGTCAAAAACCAACAACAAGTACAATGATACCAATACTCAGAATAACAATACAACTAAAAATAAGACTACGAATAAACATAAGACGAATCGTAATAATGAGAATAATAATGACAATGATAATAAGAAAGATAATCATAATAATGATAAGAGTAATAATAATAATGATAAGAGTAATGATAAGAGCAATAGTAATACTAATCATAATCATAATAAGGCTACGGATAACAATAGTAATCATAATAAGACTACGAATGAGACTAATAATGATAGTAATGATAACCGTAGAAATAAAAAGAATAATAACAATAATAGTAACAATGCTACGAATAAGGATAACAGTAATAGTAATAATACTAATAAGAGTAATAGTGATAATAATAATGATAATAATAGTACTAACAACACTGATAAGAAACATGTTCCGAAACATAATACTGATAATGAGAGGAATGAGCACACTACGAAAAATAATACGAATACCAGGAACAATAATAATAATCACAACTAGAAAAATAATAAGAATGATAATCCTAAGAAGAATCAGAAAAAAGAGCTTGGCCTCATTATCTTCACTATCCTTGTCCTATACGATTTGTTTTACCACCCCTGTTGAAACGTTGTTTTTCCCCGGCCGTCGCGTGGGGTAGTGCATCCGACGATATCGCCCGCGCCACGCGCGGCGCGTTATCTTAGCACCCGCACCACCAAAATGATTCGCTCCCCATCGTAGGCACGGATGGTTCCTTTTTAAAGCTGGGCCCTCCCTTGCGTGGGATTTAATGTTGTTATTGTTGGTGTTGGCGTTGTTGGTGTTTTTGATGTTGTTATTGGTCTTGTTGTTCTAGATAAAAATCTTTTTGCTGGCATTATGGTCGTTGTTCGTGTTGGTGCCGTGACGTAAGGGAGTCTTGAGGAGGAGGACTTTTCTGTTTAACTGGGCCAAGGCCTCTTGACTGAGGCCTTGGCCCTCGGCTTGATCCGTAATGGCGAATAAGAGCCAAAATATTGAGAGAATGTCTCAGGCGGTGTGCTTGTTTCGGCGAGCAGACTCGTCTGCGTTCACATAAAGGTGCGAGGTGCCAGGGTAACGTTTCTGGGGTGCAGGGCGCGTTATACTTTCGCCGGAGAGGGGGGGGGTCTTCATTGCTTCTCCGGGTTACCCATCCCATCCATCCCTTCCCATCTCGTTTGTTCATGTTCAACACGCTGGATGTAGTGTACCACAAAGCCATGATCATGGTAAACTGACCCCATCGTGTGATGCGTAATCAGAAAGGGGGGCTCTGTACATAGGACGTGGAGGAGGAGGTGACAGATGAGCAAGACAGGGGAGGAGAAGCAGCATCGGAAGGAGCAGGATGCACAGGAGGAGCAAGACGATACGATGCTTGCCGGCGGGCCAAGTGTGAGGCCACCGGGAGTCTCAAGAACGGGGCCAACGCTTCCGCGGGAGCACCCTCTCGAATGACCAACGACACTCCGAAACTCCCTGCCGATTCAGATATGACGCCCACGCTGAAGAGGGAATACCGTTTTGAACAGCCAGAACATTATGATGGGAACCAACACTCATGAATGACCCCATATGGACATCCTGTTTCCAAACACTGCAGTCAAACCGTGTACTGAAGACAGGTGGTAAGGACGCAAGACCTTTGGAAACCGAAGTTCGGATTTTTTGGGCGGCGGGCGACAGGTGAAAACGCAAAGGACGGGCCGCAGAGGCAAGGACACAAGGGTACCCCAGATGAAGGCGCGCGTCCTTACTAGGCGCGTTGACTGTATGCGGGAGTTGCCGTGCCACGGAAGGATATTGCCAAGGAAAAGAGCAGCATTCGCAATGTCCAACCGTGGACTATGAAGCGAGACTTGACGAGCTCAGGGTATCAGCAGTCCGCTCCTTGTGTAAGGACACGGGCGCGTCCTCAGTTAAGAGGCAACTACTGGGAGGTCTTCGTCGGAAGGACTAAGCCCCATTGGGGGGCTGCTACACCGGATGAGGCCGCGGATTAAGCGGGATTGAACGAGATTGAAAAGGATTTAACGGGATTAAATGGGAGTAAGCCGGATTTCGGACCACGGCAAAGTCAGAATTTGACCTCCCAGGAGTTGAACCCAAAACTAAGCTGGGCTCCGTCAGGACAACTCTAACGCAGGACAGCGAAAGGACACTCAGGCCTTCCACCATAAAGGGTTGGTCCAGCACTGCGCCCAGACCATCTGGGAAGGGAGGCCTCCTCCGGCCAACATGCAGACCATGCAATCAGGAGATCAGAGGGAACCCGAAGCCTTTAAGTTTCTGGCGCCGCGCACAGTCGCCCGTCCACATCGTTCTGCTGCCCATCCGTGCGATTGGCTGGCAGGCGGCCGCTGCGTGCCAGCTGGTCAGCGAGACAGGCGTGCCTTTAGATCGTCTGAGCCTCAGCCCAGTTCAGGTGGGCTGGCCAGCCCAGCGGAGAGGCGCGTTTGTCGTTCGGACCACAGAGCGCTGCGGGCCAGGACGGATTCCAGGATCTGGAAGCCCCTCTCCGATCACATAGATGGGCCCACATTCAGTGTTTAGGAATCCCGTTGTCAGGAGGCCCCTGGACCCAATACGTATAAGCTACATAGGTACTACCGTGTGGTTCCCCCTCCGTGTAAACTCTGTGCGGCGGCCCCTGGCATATTGTTTCACCGCAAACACCGCTGTACAACCAAGGCAAAGATAACCCTAATACTGCAAGCCTAAACTTGTGCAGGCGATGGATCGAACTGAGGCCTCGGCAACGAAACAGCGGCAGCCCGAGTTCCCCCACTGGCTTCCGAAACTGTGCCCCAGCGCCTCCGCGTCGCCCAGGCAGGCACCCACATCACGGCGGGAACGGTCTATCAAATTTCTGAAGGAATCCCCCCCCCCAAAGAAAAAAACTAAATTCGTGGTTCCCTTTGGCCGCGCGATGGATTTGGGCGATGGAAGAAACTTCGCCATACGGACAAAGCAGGAAGCGGGCGACGGGCGAGGGAAGAAGAAGGAGAAACGGAGCAGGGGGGCAGCGATCGGCGGGCGACGGGAAAAGGTGGGAGGAACGCTAAGGAGAAGGCAAAAACGCGGCAAAGCGACCGGGCGGGACGACCTCAAAGAAAAGTAAGAGTATGACGCGTTTCCTCCCTCACCTCGTTTCCCTCCTCCACCCCGCTCCTCCTCCACGCCCCC